ACTACATGTTCTACTGCACAGCAATGGAAGAAGAAAGAGAAATTATTCGTCAAGAGACCGGCTATAATAGCAATTCGCCTTATGTTTTAATGGCAAAAGTCGTAAAATCCAGACCCTTTGCATTCGCTTTTTATAAATACTGGAAATCAGCTCAATCAAAATATTTAGCACAGACACCGGATCCAACTCGATAATTGGTCGAGGTCAATACCCAATATTTGTATATAACTATGATGCTAATTTGTTATCTATTTATTTTGTCCTACCGGGAGAATCCTGTATGGCACGTGTGCCCAATAAAGGCTATTGTTGTTTTTGTATTGATCAGTAAATATTGTTTTGCCTGATTTAATAGACTTCAGTCATTGGTTAATACAATACAAATAAATAGGACGTATAGATAAATAGAGATGCGGGGAAATATGCAATTAGAGATACATTATCGTAAAGATAGAGGCTGCCTGGTCGGCATTCATATTCACATGAAAAATGACACTTCGGTCAGTTGGAGTTTTTTATTTTCTCAACGTTTGGACAAAAATATTTTGTCTTCGTCAGGAGAAGTAAATAAAAATAAAGCATTTGGCAAGGCTTTATGATTATTATATTACTTTATTTATTTGATTATAATATTATTATTATATTTTCTTTTATTTCCAAGATCTTTGATGAGTTTAATATAACAATTTTTAACGCCTTGCCAAAAGTTTTATTTTTATTTACTTCTCCTGACGAAGACAAAAGATTTTTGTCGAAACGTTGAGAAAATAAAAATAAAAAACTCTAACTGGCCGAATCCTCTATTTTTTCATATAATTATAGATACATAGTTACATATTTACAGCAGAGACTGGCTCCTACAGATACTCTCAGAAAATCAATTAGAGAAAGGTGCTATTCCTGGCCATGTTTCCTGATGTACCACGTGATAGATCACACAACCTGACTTACGGCAGCAACTGCAGGATTTCGCTAATTATATTTCTAAAGTCATTAAATTTCCAATTAATATGGTAAAATATACCTTCTCTGAGAAATGTTGGGGTTTCGCTACATTTCCTTATAGCACGGAATTTAGAGTTTTCTCTTTAGGGGAGCTCACCTTCCCTCTTTCTGTCTTTATATGTCGATTGTCACTTAGCTCACCTAGATCATTTATAAACATTTAGTACATCGACTAAATAAGAAATAAATAAATCCCAATATATACTCATTGACAAAACTTAAGAGGGTGGAAAGTCTTTTTGATTCGCCGGTCGTCGACTTTTTTTTTATGAATACAAAGTCAACTTTGTTCACACTTCCTTAAGTTTTGTCCATGAGTGTATTTGGTTATCTCGTGAGTCTTCAATAAAGATCACTGTAATATCTTTCAGAGTTATTGTCTGAATCCCGATATACATGGTGAAAGGTACAAATTTCTGAAGTTTTGTCCATGAGTGTATTTGGTTACCTCGTGTGTCTTCAATAAAGGTCACTGTAATATCTTTCAAAGTTATTGTCTGAATCCGGATATACTTGCTGAAAGGTACAACTTCCTTAAGTTTTGTCCATGAGTGTATATTGGTTATCTCGTGTGTCTTCAATAAAGGTCACTGTAATATCTTTCAGAGTTATTGTCTGAATCCCGATATACATGCTAAAAGGTACAACTTCCTTAAGTTTGGTCCATGCGTGTATTATATTTCTATAAAATTGAGCCATGGTTACTATAGTGAGGAGGAATTCGTCAGAAAAGTGCACAAAGAAGGCTGGTTAAACTTGTTTTCCCCTGAGAAATAAACTATAACTGAAGACCGAATTTACGTGGAGCTGTATAGGAGAGGGGACAATCATAGGTGAGGTCCTAGCGACGTTTTTGAATAACGTTCCACTGAGCTGGTGTTTCAGTAACTTAATTTGTCGAATCTAAGGGATTGAATCCAGCAGAGCTGTGGGCAGTAAGGAATACCATCTGACCGATGGTAGAAAGAGAAATGTCGAAAATGGAGTAAAAGGGCCAAGATTTTGGAAAGTGTGGATCCTATGGATAGTGTAAGAATTAACACAAAGCAATAACGCGCCATCTATATATATAAAATGGAAGGATTTAAAAGCACGAATGTTTCTTTTATACATAATACAAACTTCTACTGCCCTTCCTGCGATGAAAAAATATATTGGGAGGGCTTGGCTCATCAGTGGTGAACCCTCCCAGCGGTTTCGCCAATTTAATCCACCAGACCGCTTCTCAGAGCTCTAATACTGTATTGGACGATTCTGCTTATATACGCAGCACTGAAGAATGGAATCTCAGAAATGGTTTTCAAGAAAACTATGGACAAGAGTCTCTCCCTTTCAAAGAAGACATGTTCAAAACTTCAATATTTTTATAATTTCGTTTAATAATTATAGTTTAGAAACTCATTGAATTCTGATTTTAAAAAGAAACAAGGTAATAAGATCAAATCAAAATAAATAAAAAGTTGGTGTGGGGAGAGCTTCAGATCCTGAACTCTTTAAAATAGAATCTTCGAGTGATGGCATCAACATTGATATTCACTTTGGAATTCTTCAGCTCATAGGAATAATAACTTCTTAGGTCCATTGAAGTCTATAAAATTGATTAGGCACATTGGATTTGGTCTTATCACCTTGTGTTTATAATCTATAATCCAAATTGCGCCTAATCGATTTTGATAAAGAAAAATTATGTCACAACATGTGATTTCCTATCCAACCCACCCCAAGTAGTATCTGTATGGTTTTATGCCTTGTTATAAAAAGGAAAAACTCTTACCTTAAGGATCTATCTCGCTTAGTTTTACTTGGTTTAACTATTTACAAGGCAACATTAACTAACTTATAACAATCACAGCTATGCCGGAACTTCCGCCAGCCTAAGGTAAACAAAAGCAGTAATGATGATGATCACCTTACCGATAAATCAGTCGGGTTGTCAGATGGTAACTTATTCTCAACACAGTATCTAGGCGGTACGAAATATACCATCAGGTTGTCTAGGCCAAGTAACGCCAACAATATATAAACAAGGGTTTCAACAGCGAAAGGAAATGCCAGATTTGGATTGGTGACGTAACTTCCGAATTACAGAATGTTGAAACTTTTTTATTCTGATTATTTGGCCGTGAACTTCCGCTCTAATATCTTATAGCACGGCGAGCGATATCTGATTGGTTAATTACGTTTATCTGAGTCAGTTTTGATGAGCTCAGGTCTTAGACGATCTCTCCTGATGGCGAAGTTCCACATCACTCTATCTGTCCCGAAGTAATGAAGACCTCACAAGTGTGGCGACCATCTACAAATACCATCTTGGATTTGAGTTGGGAAATACCAGCCACCACATCGACCTGACCACTCAGTGGGAAGGAACTTGATGGCCGAATCTACGCGATGGAAGACGTCAATAAAGAAAGTATGTCATAATATTTGTAAATATTTTTTTGAGAATAAAGCAATCCATAAATAAATCTTTAATTAAAAAGGCATATATTGGATCAAAATATCATTTATTTTACCAATATTTCAACCAATATAGCTGAACGCCAACCTTTATCAAGGTGTTATAACATTTTAAAGTGTGTCAACAACATATTTGTAAACATATAAATAAAATGGCCTGTGTACAAGGGAAGATACCCGGGTTAAAACAACCCCTTTGGTAAACAAGTGTCTTCATTCTCCCCTAGGGGATTTTATCTTACTTAAATCGGTTCAAAAGCGGCTGTATGTGATAAGAAAAAGGTCAGTTCTCACCGAGGTGGTCTCGACACCAGTTGTTCTAGGGGTTGTTCTTCTATCTTTCCTCCCCGATCTATTTCCCCACGGGATCCTGTGTGTCCTTACCACCCATCACTCAACTACCACGACTGCTTCTAACTAACTTGCTACACTACAGTCATCCAACATAATAAACTACATTACTACATATATTTTGTATATATGTGTATGTAGTAATATATACACTAGATTGTCATATTTACCATAATTATAAATAGTATAACATCTCCAAAATGTAGATAAATTTCAACATCCCAGCTTAACAATCATGTAATATCACAAACAAGACGATAAAGTTTCATTGAGAGGCAGTCACACCCTAGACAAACAAGTTCCAGTTTCGTCAAGATTACGTCATTTCCTCCCAGAGAACTTCCACAAGTCGTTAGCGAGTTTTACGACCAGCAGCGGATAACAACAGATCATATCGCCCTCTCGTGCAGATCAAACACCCTCCTGGACTTTGCGATGTCTTCGGCCGCTGGCCTCTCTGAGGTACCATCCAACCTGCCTCGTCCTTTATGTTACCCATAGACTCCTGAAACCACTTGGCCCCATGACTGCTAGTGTTTGTCATACGATATATATTTATCAATTATTATATATATAATATTATTAATTATAAATATGTGTTTTTAATTAAAAAGGCATATATTGGATCAAAATATTATTTATTTTACTAATATTTCAATTGGCTGAACTCCAACCTTTTTCAAGGTATCATAACATATACCATGTTATAACACCTTTAAAAAGGTTGGCGTTCAGCCAACTGAAATATTGATAAAATAAATGATATTTTGATCCAATATATGCCTTTTTAATTAAAGATTTATTTATGGATTGCTCTATTTTCAAAATAAATATATGTATACTTATTTTATTATGCATCTTTTATATGGCCTTGTGTGAATGATATAATGAAAGTAGCTTCAATCTCGCCAGCGTCTGTCATCTTCAGAACTGCTCTAACTTCACTCCTACTCCAATCACTTATTCAGCCGGTAGTAGTCATGCCACTGACCAGCGGCCACCCGACCTATTGAGCTGTCTCATGGCTTTATGTCGACGCCATCCTCGAAAATTCACTAAATCATCCAACTATCATGAATGTTATAATCAGAGGAGAGAGGAGAAATAACGATTATTTCTAACCTTAGTAATAAGGTATGAAAGGATGAATTGTGAAGAGTAATGATAAACGGAAAAATAAAAGTATCCAGGGATGGGAATCGAACCCACACTGTTCCGCTTACCGGGCAGATGTCATGTCCACTAGGCTACCCTGGACATAATGAGAGGAGTTCACGAAGAGATCTTCGGAGAGTGTGGAGAAAGATTATTCGTCATTAAGGAACATCTTCGATTATAAATAATTTTACATAGTCTTTTATCAAATTATTGAAAATAGGTTCACAATTATGTTTATTTCAAAAGCAAGATAAGAGCGCGCGCGAGAAGGCCCTATTTCAACAAATTAAATGTACCAACATTTCACCCTACGTATTGCTTTAAAAAATATCAGCAAACAAATCTAAGGCAATAGTTTACTATAATTTTTTTAGAATATCATTATAAGTATAAGAATTTAAGACATGCGAGGATGTGTTTCTTAAAGGTTTTAATATGGGCGAGCTTTCGGGTTATTAACCCTTCTACAGGACATCATATCTGAGTAAAACTGCATCTTATATACATATCCATATTGAGAAAATTAGCATATATACAAGAAAACTATAAACATATTAACAAAATTGGTGAAAAATTAAAAATAAGAAAAATCTGCGTGTTCTGAGTATGCTAAGAAGTAAAATCAAAAATAGTTGTACAAAAAGGATACGGTTCAATTTAGGGCTGCAATAGTAAAACGATCCAAAATAAAACTCACTGGCAATGGTCACCTAAGGTACACTATGGCAATATTGCATTGTATATATCAGGGATGTCTATGTGTCTGTTAATACTGTTATGTCTTAAAGAGAGCAACGCCTCGACGACCAACCTTCTGTATTTGTTCGTGATTCCTGAATAAAATGCCTGTGGTTGAGAGGTATCGAAAGAATGTGCTGTCTGTCTAATGTGTTGTACTATAAGGGATCTAGGTTCACTGTTTCTGATGTTTCTATGGTGTTCATCCATCCTATCTTTGATTCTACGGCCTGTTTCTCCTATATACAAACTATTGCAATCTGAGCATTTTAAGGAATATATGGAGTTTGTAAAGTATGGCAGGGTAATGGAAAAACTATTTCTGGTGATGGGGTTTCTAACTATTGTTTCTAATTTAGGAGTGTTGGTATAGAAGGTACGTATTCCGTGTTTGTTTTTTAAGTATCTAGCTATGTTGACACTGTGGGCAGAGTAAGGGATGATGCAAGTCGATCTATAAGTCTGACTGCTTAGCTGTTGTTGTGGATTGTAAAAGTGTCGGAGAATGAAGTTTCTGGGGTAGCCTGAGTTCATTAGGTGATTAACCACGATCTGGGTCTCTGTATGTTTAAATTCAGACGTTGAACAATGAGTAAAAACACGTTTTGAGAGGGTTTTGACCGTATTAATTTTATGGCTAAGGGGGCAGTATGAGGTATAGTGTATATAGGAGGGATGAAAGGAGGGCTTATAGTATACGTTGGTAATATACCTGCTATTTTGTTTTGTGATCATGATATCCAAGAATGCCAAGGAACTATTGTTTTCTTTTTCGAATGTGAATTGGATGCCCGGAAATAGTGAATTTAATTTAGTATGAATACTGTCCAAGGATTCTATATTAATTATGCAGAAAATATCGTCTATGTATCTAAACGGAATACGTACCTTCTATACCAACACTCCTAAATTAGAAACAATAGTTAGAAACCCCATCACCAGAAATAGTTTTTCCATTACCCTGCCATACTTTACAAACTCCATATATTCCTTAAAATGCTCAGATTGCAATAGTTTGTATATAGGAGAAACAGGCCGTAGAATCAAAGATAGGATGGATGAACACCATAGAAACATCAGAAACAGTGAACCTAGATCCCTTATAGTATAACACATTAGACAGACAGCACATTCTTTCGATACCTCTCAACCACAGGCATTTTATTCAGGAATCACGAACAAATACAGAAGGTTGGTCGTCGAGGCGTTGCTCTCTTTAAGACATAACAGTATTAACAGACACATAGACATCCCTGATATATACAATGCAATATTGCCATAGTGTACCTTAGGTGACCATTGCCAGTGAGTTTTATTTTGGATCGTTTTACTATTGCAGCCCTAAATTGAACCGTATCCTTTTTGTACAACTATTTTTGATTTTACTTCTTAGCATACTCAGAACACACAGATTTTTCTTATTTTTAATTTTTCGCCAATTTTGTTAATATGTTTATAGTTTTCTTGTATATATGCTAATTTTCTCAATATGGATATGTATATAAGATGCAGTTTTACTCAGATATGATGTCCTGTAGAAGGGTTAATAACCCGAAAGCTCGCCCATATTAAAACCTTTAAGAAACACATCCTCGCATGTCTTAAATTCTTATACTTATACTCTTCAGAGGATTTTAACTCTTTTTAGAATATCATTATGTAAGGACCAGTCAACAAGTGAATGACTTTGAGATGAAGAGTAAAGCCAGTTCAATTTCTATTTCACTACCTATGTAAATAACACAAGGTGATTATTACCTTACCCAATTGGGAGAATCTGTATGGGGCAAGTCCCTAATAAAGGCTTGTGTCTGGATGTGATAAGAGAGCCTGTAGAAGTACGATACTCGCTTGAATTTTAAATAAAAACAGGCATAGATTGGTGACATCGCCACACAGACATTCATTATAAAATAAAAATAATCATTTTAATCTCTTTCACATGATATATTTGTCTATAGTTTCCATTTTACTGTAGAGAGCTCTCTTAAATTAAGGAGATATTTCAGCATTGTGAAGGATGATAATTTTGTTTAAAATCTATTCTATATAACGGAAAGTCAAACTTAAATAAACTCTTCCCACCTTGAGCACTGTTGCTCAAGCCGAAAGCTTGGGCCGCCGAAACGTCGGTGACAATAAATGTTTAAAGTTTGATGAGTCACCATCTTTTCTAAATATTAACAACATTAAGAAGAAGAAAAAAGACATCTCTTGAACGTGAAAATAAAAGTTACTGATTTCTTGCGCCATCTATCGGAAAAAATAGCAACTAATCGTTTATTATTATTATTCCAGAATTGGCCAAATACCCATTCTTGATTAATCAAGAAAAGCTAACCACGTACGCGTTTCGGGCTGTTGGCCCTCATCATTTTATTTTCAATAATTTATCCACTTAAAAAAAAATCCCAGTAATATTTCACTTTTTAAACTATTTTTCTATTGACAACATGTTTATTCATTTTTTTTTATTACTGACTATTTATCGAACGATGCTTTGGGTTTTAAATAGCTTTTATTTGATGAATTATAAAGCCTTTCCATATATGACTGCTTGTTTGATCGTTCAGGTACTACCGTCTGCATCAGACTGTTGAGGATCAACACAACAAAATATACTTTTTTGGGGGGATTTATCAAGAAAAGGTGTTTGCTAATATCCTCTTGAATAAAAAATGAATCTCAGACCTCAGTTGGTAGAATTCCTTCAGATGACTCAAACCATCGTAACATTCATTTACATACCCCCGAAGTTGATCCACTTTGCCGCAGTGGGGGGGCCCGAGTCCGACTTCCAAGTCGTTCCGCCAAGAGATCAACACCACAGAGGTCCGTACGTCTGACCTCACGGACAATACAGCAGCTACTGGACATGCCTCTCAAATTTTAATGACCGATATGTCCTCACTTCTTTTTTCTAGATTTAATTCATTTTGTCTCCTCTCTAATTGTAAATACGCTGCTGTATCACCTCATAAGCATAAATAAATATTTACATCATCAGTAGAAGTTATTTTCTTAATTTTATCTCCTTATCTCACACATTCTACTCTTTAGTGTCTATTTTAAAATAATTAATTGCATATTCTCCTCAAAATGTTACTTCATTATTTTATTAATGTTCACAAGCTTTCGAGTTAAGCATTCTTTCTCATCGGTGTTTCTTCGATGTTTTTCCCTATAAAAGAACTACGTACCAAGTTTAGATATCAAGGTTGCTTGCTATCTTTTGGTTTAATGATTGTACCAATTCTCACATAACTTAAACTTTACATATCTGGTCATTCCAATTTTATAGCAAAAAAACAGCCAATATGTAAATATGTCATGGCCGCCACATTTGTCATTGCTCGACACAATTCCTTCTAGTTGAGAACAACAGGAAAAAGAGGAAATTTATAATTGGAAGTTGATCAACCCCTACAATGGAGAGTTGAACCGATGTCCATTCACGGGGACAGCTGGAGAACTTATTTTTTCCCCAGTGAGTTATTGAAATGGGAGTGTATATGCGGACAAGGTCAGGCTTGCTTGAAACAAAGGACTTCTCGTTATAAAGTTGGTTCAATTGGGCGGCTTGGCTGTTATCCAAGTTAAAGCCTCCGCTTCAAAACTTCCAAGGTTATTTCTTTTTTTACTATCGAGACATACACTCATCGACAAAACTTAAGGAAGTGGAAAATCTTTGATATCGCCGGTCGTCTTTTTTTTTTTTTTCAAAGAGACAGAGGCAATTTTATTTACACTTGGTTATCTAGTGTGTCTTCAATAAAGGTCACTGTAATATCTTTCAGAGTCATTGTTTGAATTCCGATATACATGCTAAAAGGTACAACTTCCTTAAGTTTTGTCCATGAGTGTATATTGGTTATCTCGTGTGTCTTCAATAAAGGTCACTGTAATATCTTTCAGAGTTATTGTCTCAATCCCGATATACATGCTAAAAGATACAACTTCCTTAAGTTTTGTCCATGAGTGTAGTTGAGAGAAAATAGACATTATTGTTATTGATATTTTTACTATAGAAAAATTATCAACTATTTTAGCGCACAATAGTTTCTTTTAAAATAATTGTGTTCAACCCTTACTACAAATAGAAAAATATTTGGAGGGCCTGGCTCATCAATAGCGAACCCTCCCAGCTGTTTCGCCAGTTTAATCGACCATACCACTCTACTATTGTATTGGACTGTTCTGTTTATATGTCCGGCACTAAAGTGAAATTCTCTTGGTTTTTATATTAATAAACTAATGACATAAGTTAATTATAATATTATAGTATATATATATATATATGTTTCTGTTGTAATGTAATTTATCCTGATCATCACATCCAGCCGCTTTTTAAACCGATTTAA